AAGGAGACAATCTTGCTTAAAAAGTAGTAGCTAGGGTGGTCTTTCCTATGCCACCCATACCCCATATTCCAATGGTTATAACTTCAATTGACCCAATTTTTAGTACTGATTCAATTTCTTCACAACTGTCCTCAATTCCTACCAGACCTTTAAGTTGGTTTCGGTAACTAGGAGTCAATTTTTGCAAAACGTCTCCAACAATTTCCTTAAGGAGTTCTGATTCAGTCCTAGCATACGAAAAAAGGAACAATGAAATAAATGTTGTGTTATGAGCCTAACAAGTACAATAGAAAACAAAAGGAATTATACAAATGATTATACATAATCATAGATCAATATGTTAGTATAATAGAGAAAAAGATGTGATTGAGGAATAAAAATCCAATGACTTAGAGAAGATAAACAATATCTATGTTTTTTCTACACAATCAACTTAAACTACCATGGAAGTTGTTATTATACATTCGCATGCTCTCATGCATATAACGGATATAAAAGTTTCCAAATACATACAAACAATATATGGATAGTACATAAAAAAAAATTTATAAAAGAGTCGGTTAATGAAGATATCAATATTTAAATTTATTTTTAGGTTATTGAAGAGAAAATATTGGAAATATTTTTCAATAGTGAACTTCATAGTAGATGTGTAAATTACAATAAATTATCATTGTTTATATGTTCACTATGTACAATATACTATGGGAATATTGGATTCTCCTTTATATTTTGCAAAGAAAAGCATCAGCCACCACATTGGTTTTGCCCGGATGATAACTAAGATCAAAATCATAGTCCATAACGAGTCCTAAATGTTGTCTTAGGTACATCTTCACCCTTAACTCTAATCTAATGGTACCCTGATCTAAGGTCAATTTTACTAAATACACAAACACCCACCAACTGGTCCATAAGATCATCTATCCTAGGTAATGGATACTTATTCTTAATGGTTACCTTATTCAATTGGCGATAATCTACACACAATCTCATGCTACCATCCTTCTTAACTAAGAGTACGGGTGCTCTCCAAGGTGATACACTAGGCCTCACAAACCCCTTCTCCAACAAGTCTTCTATTTGTTTCTTAAGCTACACTAACTCTACGAGTGACATCCTATAAGGTGCAATAGAAATAGGTCTTGTTCCTGGTACTAAGTTTATGGAAAACTTTACTTCTCTTGTAGGTGGTAAGCTAGACATATCATCAGAGAAGACATCCGAAATTTTTGATGATTTAAGGGTTGGATTTGATTGAAGAATTTAGAGACTTATGCTTAGTGTGTGAGATTATCCTTAGGAGCATTGAATTGATTATGTTGAAAGTGACTAGTGAATTAATGGATGAGATTAGAGAAGCCTAGGAGTTAGAGCCTTTCTTAGTGAACCAAGTGGAAAAGATTGGTAGGAGTATAGATAACCTTTTCTGAGTAGAAATCGATGTTGTTTTGAGGTGTAAGAACAAATTTGGGTGCTTAGTAACCTTGAATTAAGAAAGATGATTCTAGAGGAAGGACATAAGAGTACACTTAACATTCATTTAGGAGCTACTGAGATGTATCGGGACCTTAGAAGGATAGACAGTTCTGCAGGTGATTTTTGTGCGTGTTGAGGGAGTTCAGAATGGGCCATTCCAGTATCGGTACAGGCCATTTTGGCCACTCCAAAAATTCTATAAATAGGGGTTAGGGGCCTTCAAGAGAATGTGAGTTTTTAGAGAGAATTTTTAGAGAGAAGGTCTCTGGGTCTGTGAGCTCCTTTCTCTCCCAAATTTCTTTGTATGATTCCTTTTCTCCTCTAGATCACTAATGCCTTCTGGCTTTTCTTGAAATTCAGACTAGGAAACTCGTTTTGGGAGGATTGAAGTTCCAGGTTGAGCTTCGAAAGGAAATTCTACTTCTTCTCAGTTATTGGCTATTTTGAGCCAATTTTCGGGTGAGGGAAGCTAGAATGTTTGTTATTTAAGTTGCATGTGAGATTAGAAATTCAATTGATGCATGAAAGTTGAGGATCCATGGCTGGATCGGAGAATTCGCTCATTTTTCGAGATTTTGGAAAAAATAGGGTTTTTGGGTGGAATTGATGCATCGGATGGGTGCATGTAGTTTTTAAGGTTGTTTTTGTGTTGTATGAAGCCCATGCATTGTGTTTTTGTGTTTGCATGTGGCTGGGTTTGTTGGTTTGGATGAGAGTTTTTGAACTCTCTAACTAGGATTAGGCTAGGCACAGGTTGAGCGCGCCAGGCGTGGAAGAGCTTAGAATATGGGCACAACAAGAGAAATTGTCCCAACCCTCTTAAGCAACCAGAAGGTGGTGGAGAACAACAACAACAACCAACTACTACCAAATCTAAGGTAATTAACATTATATTTTCTTTAATTTTCTCACTAATAAATATCAATTTAAATGAGTTGTGTTGTATAATGCAGAAAAAAGGGAAATGATGTAAAAATACAGCAAATGGACAACTTAATGAGGAAAATTATTGTGGAGTTGGAACAAGTGGAGATGGAAATCCGAGTGAAGCTGCAACAAGTGGTGTTATAGTTACTGGTGTTGTAGCAACAAATGTGGCTTCTAGAGATATAAATGTCAATGATGATGTTACTCATTGATATTAATAAAAAAACCTTTTTTTTGTTGCATTGATAGAATAACTGTTTTCTTTAATAGACACAAGATTGCAAATAGTGAAGTAAGATAGATGCAATTTCAATTTTTAAATTTTTTTTTGGTATTGTGATTGTTGAGACTTGAGATACTAATGACAATTATAGTCAATTTCAATCTTAAACTAGTATACTTGGTGCTTAGTTTGTGTATAACATCTTGTTTTTATATTTGTATCAATATACTTAGTGCTTGGTTTCTTCCAATAGCAGGGTATTGCCCATTATAGATGTAGGACAATATTTATTGACGCTGGCATATGATTAAGCCTATGATCCTTCATGATGCCAACTATTCGAATATGTTAATCATTTATTTGCATCAAAATATTGTTCATTCAAATAAATATATTTTTTTTATTTGAATAAACAATTATTTTAGCATACATTTATTTGTTGTATTTAAATAGTATGTATATCATTCCACTCCAAAAATGTGTGATTTGTGATGCTTATTTTTGTGATTTCTGACAGGTAAAAATTACAAAGCACATTTCCAGCGTTATTAATAATTGTTATTTGCTTGATTCAAACCGTTTTAAACAGTCGCAATATATAACTTTGTTTTTCACATTTTCCGGCGGTTTTCAACAACCAAAAAATGTATCCCTGTTTGTCTGCAATTTTCGACGGCCAAAAGATGCATTTTTTTTACTTAATAATCATCAAGCCGAAAGAAATAGCAGTCAAAGCACTCACATCAAGTGGAACCTTAGTATCATTCAGTATAGCTTTCCATAAGCAAGAGTAAATTAAAATCTTTACATTTGCAAATAGGAAGTAACCGATCTTATTTATTTCACGACACTTCACTTTTCAACGTGTTTTGTCCTTACTGCACATTTTCTGGAGAACTTCCCAGAAGGTCACCCATCCTTATATTACTCCAAGTTAAGCACGCTTAATTGTGGAATTCTGATAAGATAAGCTACCGAAAAGAAAATGCATGTTGTTAGTATAAGTAGTACAAATTAATTCATTTAAGTCATCCTCAACTATATAATCTCATACTTATACTATTTTTGGATCTTTCTCATTTTAGTGTGTCTAGACCGCGATAAAAATATAAAAATTATATATAATTATATTACCAATAATAACAATTACATTATATTTAATTAATATGATACAATTTAAATTATTTATTATAAACTTAAAAGTTTAAATAATAATTTATATATTTTAAAATGATAAGGGTTATAATAACACCAGTGTAACTTTTACTAAGTATTACATTGCTCAATAACTTTATATTAAATGTGAATCTTGTAAATCCAACCAGTAGATTGAAAGTTCATATCACTTTATATGTTTATATCAAATTTTGTTAATATTGAACAACAACTTGAAAGTAATCAAAGTGTTCATATTTTGGTATATTTTAAAATGTAATATCAAATTATATTGAATTAATATAAAATTTTGTATATATGAGTTAAGAGTAAAAAAATTTCGATCTAACGGTTGAGTTTATAAAATTCACATTTAAAAATATAAATTTATTGAGCAGTGCAATACTTATTAAAAGTTACACCAGTGTTATTATAACCCTTCTCTTTTAAAATATTATTTTTATAAATTAAATTTTAATATTTTAAATAAATTATTAATTAACTTAATATATTTATTCATCTTAAATTATGACTAATGGAGACGCATGCGAGGAAGAATGACTAAGGGAGAGCGTGATATTTTTTAAATAGTTACAATATTTTTAAGATCGATTAAGTTTTAACCGATCTTAAAACCATTTTTAAGATTGGTTACAAAGAACCGATTTTAAAAGTTGTGTCAGACATACCTTTTAAGATCGGTCATAGAAGAACCGATCTTAAAAGTGTTCACATTATTTACAAAATTGTCACCGCGTCACTTTTAAGATCGGTCACATTTTAACCGATCTTAAAACTCTGATTTTAAAACTAATTTTTGCACTAGTGAATACTTAAATAATAGTACCAAACTTTCAATAATAAAAATATCAAAATGTCATAAAAATAATTCAAATGACAAATACATACAACTAAACATAATTTTAATTAATGTCATAATAATTTAAAAAATTCAATACACAACTTAATATTAAAATCATAATATTTAAAAATATTAATTAGTAAAGTCCGCGGACTAGCCCGCGAGCCCATGGATTAAATCCGCCAAGTCCGCGGACTTCACGGGCCAGGCTCAAAAATTAAACATAGTCATATGGATTTGAAAAAAACAGGTCCGTTATCTGCAAAATTCGCGGGCTTACGGACCGGTCCGCGGTCTCGGGTCCATCTACCCACCCCTATCAACAATATTTCAAAAAATAGAGAAACAGCTCACCTGCTCATTCTGGGAACCAGCATATGCAATTCCCAAACCCATAATTGCACCAATCCTGATTGAAGTGTCTTTTCTATGTGTACAGTCACCTAGAAGTGCCAATGCCTGAAAAGTGGACAAATAACATCTAATATAGAAACAAAAGCTACACCATACTCTCATATCAAGCATAGGGGAAGGCAACAGAAACTCACAGGACCACAGTCATTCTTGATACCACAATTGACAATTCTAACTCCCAATAATGCACCAGCATTGACATGATTATCATTACTATGAAAGTATTTGTTAATTTGAGCAAGTCCCGAGTCAACATCCCAGAGTAAAATCATACCCTGTTATGATACATAACTATTGCAAATGAAATTATATAGTCCGCACCACAGATAAGAAAAACTCGTTCAACAGTCTTCCCATCTTCCTTATTTTTGAAAAAGCCAATTTCCAGAAGAACCACTGCATGAAGAATTTGATGAAACGGTCATTAATTTATCCTGCAAAACAATAATGGGAAGCGAGGGAAGTAAAAGATTGAAAAGAACAAAAGAGATCATTAACCTAAAATCACTACAATTACAACATACAAAATCGTGACATATGAAATACATTGTACCCATGGTTTTAATTAATTGCGGTTGCGGTCGCGGTTGCAGTTACTGCAGTTGCGAGTATTGCAGCAATGTGGATTGCGGCCATTGCAGTATGAAATTATTAATTATTTTCACTAAATATAAAAAATTTATAATTATCAATATATATTTTATTTTTAAGGATTTATACATTTTAATTCCTTTTTTTTTAATATTCTATTATTTTAATGAATAATTGAATTTATTTTAAAATTATAGTATCAATTTATCGTATTGTGAATGTATTGCGGTGCATTGCAGATGTGTTGCGGACGCAACACCGTTACGTTGCAAAAAAATGTGTGATTTTCAGTCTCACCGCAATTGCGGTCCGATGCCGTTGCGAACAAGGCCGCAACAGCAATATTGCGGCCGCAATACGTGTTGCGGTCCGCAATTTAAAACCATGATTGTACCTGACCAAAGCCAGCATTTACAAATTCATTGACAAAAGTAGCAGCAACTGTCTAGTCGAATCAACAGTTGCTCCAGCATTAACCCGGCCATCAAGCAAGTGCGCCTACAAGATGTAAAAATCTCAGGGAGTTATATCTTGTACAGAATACATTTAGGAAAAAGTAAAATAGTCATCAAAACCTCACCTTGTATATATCCTGTAACATAGTTTAAAAAAAATGATTCAGTAGCTAGAACGGGCCGTTCCCAAATTGGAACGAGCCGTTCTAAACTACTGAAGGAGCACGGGCCGTTCCAGAAGGAGAACGGACCGTTCCAGAAGGGGAACGGGCCGTTCCGGATGAGTCCCAGAACGGGCCGTTCTGATTTCAGAACGGACAGTTCTGCAGGTGATTTTTGTGCGTGTTGAGGGAGTTCAGAATGGGCCATTCCAGTATCGGTACAGGCCATTTTGGCCACTCCAAAAATTCTATAAATAGGGGTTAGGGGCCTTCAAGAGAATGTGAGTTTTTAGAGAGAATTTTTAGAGAGAAGGTCTCTGGGTCTGTGAGCTCCTTTCTCTCCCAAATTTCTTTGTATGATTCCTTTTCTCCTCTAGATCACTAATGCCTTCTGGCTTTTCTTGAAATTCAGACTAGGAAACTCGTTTTGGGAGGATTGAAGTTCCAGGTTGAGCTTCGAAAGGAAATTCTACTTCTTCTCAGTTATTGGCTATTTTGAGCCAATTTTCGGGTGAGGGAAGCTAGAATGTTTGTTATTTAAGTTGCATGTGAGATTAGAAATTCAATTGATGCATGAAAGTTGAGGATCCATGGCTGGATCGGAGAATTCGCTCATTTTTCGAGATTTTGGAAAAAATAGGGTTTTTGGGTGGAATTGATGCATCGGATGGGTGCATGTAGTTTTTAAGGTTGTTTTTGTGTTGTATGAAGCCCATGCATTGTGTTTTTGTGTTTGCATGTGGCTGGATTTGTTGGTTTGGATGAGAGTTTTTGAACTCTCTAACTAGGATTAGGCTAGGCACAGGTTGAGCGCGCCAAGCGTGGAAGAGCTTAGGGCTCTTGAGTTGGATGTTGGGCCAGACGTGATTTGGTTGCGTCAGGCATGGATACTCTTAGGAGTCTCTATTTCAAGGACACCGAGCGTGAGTTGAACGCGCTGGGAGTGGATGAGTCTTAGGACTCTTAGGTTGGGATTAGGCTGGGCAAGCTCAGGCTACGCCGGGCGTGAATATATTTATGAATGAATTGATGTTTATGCATGTTTAAAGTTGAAGTTTTGAATCATGTATGTATGATATATGATGTATGCTGAGGTGTGATTCATATATGTATGCTTTGTGATGATACGTATGAATGTTTAAATATGATATGAGTATGTTTATTGATCATAATGGTGGATAGACCATTTATGATGTATGATGCATTATTGCATGTGATGTCTTATGACATGTGTATGATTATTGATCATGCTGGTGGGCAGACCATGTATGATATATGATGCATAATTGCATGTGATGCCTTATGGCATGAGTCTAGCCTAGGACTTGAGGAGAGGAAAAATATTTTCGAATTGGAAGAGCTCACATAGAGTCTCTTGAGAGTAGTGCTTGGATAGGCCACTAACATATGAGAGTGGTGCTCTAGGAGGCCACTGGATTTGGGAGAGTGGTGCTCAGATAGGCCACTGGGTTAGGTGAGTCTCCTCTAAGTCCTTAGCTAGTGTTGGAGCGGGGTATGAGGTCAAGGGTTATTCCCTTAACCAAGTACTCGGGAAGGTGCGTGGATCCTTGCGGATAGTCGGTGGGCGAACTCCACAATTGACTTGGTTATGCATGCCAAGGTCGTGGTAAGCCCGTACCCAGCTGTGCTATACCTGACGGTGGATCTGGACTTCCAAGTGTGTAAGTGACATCATCCGAGTAAACCCGAGTGAGGATTATATATCCTGTTTAGCTGTGACCGAGCGGGCGCATTGGGCGTGAAAACGGTTGGGGTGGTTTCGGTAGGATGGAATGTCACTTATACAGCTCTGTTGTTATGGAGATCTCCTAGGTGTATGCGTGACGACGCATTAGATGATTGATCTGCATTGATATCTTTCATGAGATGCATTTATTGCATGATTATTAATATGATGAAGTGTGGTGTTTGACTTCATGATTGGTGGATTGTATTTTATGCATGAGTAGTATTGGATAGAGTGTATGGTGTAACTCTATGAATATGATTAATAGTTGATTGATTGTGTAGTATAGATTATTGTTCTATACTTGTATGATTGATATTTTTTGAACTCTAGCTTATCCTTCTGTTTCCATGTGGTGGAACTGCGATGATCATATTTGGTATGGGAGTAGGTCAGGGCTAGCTTGGAGTGGAGGTGTCCGCTGCGAGATGGGAAGTTTTGATCCTCGTGTTAGAGTTACCATTTTGGGTAACGATTTTGTTTGTGCTCTACCGGCACTAGGGCATATTATTTTTGGGATAACTGTACATATATGATGTTTTATTTTAAGAAACTTAATTATTTTTATATATACTTGTATGTATGAGTTATCCAACGTAATATTTCTCGTAGTTCACTAGTAATAGTACGATTCCACTAAGTGTAGAGATCATGGCGGGTCGTTACATATCCTCACGGGACTTGAGCTCCATGACTTCAATATCACGAGCAAGGGTGAGATATCCTTCACTTAGCTTAGAATTGTTTACACTACAAAAAAAATAACCTGTGCCTACAAACACTTTTACCTATAATCCTGAATTAGTGTAGGTAAAACTAAAAAAAAAAATTTACCTACCAATGTTTAATGTAGGTATAACTCAAAAATCTATACCCACTTTTATTTAGTGCAGGCAAAACTCAATACAACTTAAAATTCTTTTACCAACAAATTGTCAATGTAGGTAAAAGCCTTCAAAGACTTATGCCTACTACTATTTTAGGTAGGTAAAAAATTTACAAAATTTATACTTACAGTTATTTAATATAAATAAAAATCCATGTAAAATAAATAAATAATTATATATAATAATACTAACCCGAAATGTATTTCTTTCACCATTTTTTGTAGAGTAGAAAAATTTTGATCACCCTTAATCGCAACCCAAATGTAATTCTGAAATAGTTTTTAGAATGTTAAAATTTAATTCAAAAACCTGATTTCTAGAAAGAAGTATTTACAACAAAAAGAAAATAAATAAAAAAATACAAAGGAAGTATTCAGAAGTATCTATTGCAGAAGGGCCATGTATGGTGAGGCCCATCATCAGAGCCGCCCAACCCAACCCCAAAAGCTACAACATATACACAGTTCTATATAATCTATTTAATTCAAAAACCTGATTTCTCATTCTGAATCGCTCCGCACCCATTCCTCGCTCGTCTCTGTTCTCGAATCATGTCTCCGTTCACAGGTTTCTTCATCATGAATCTCCTACAGCCTATTTGTTTCTTCTAATCTAGGTTTTTGGTTCATATAATCCTACGTCCTCTACTTCATTGCGCTTTACTTTCGAATTTTATCTCGTACTTTTTTTCTTCCTGAGTCTAATGTAAGATTTGTTTATTGATACTGACTTTGCTAACAGATGTCCAAGAAGCACTCACAGATCTCGTATTCGAATGTTCACCAGTTTATCAATAGGTATTTTATATCTTCTCACTCTTGAATTCTTCCTCTGTAGATTACAATTAGAATGTCGTCATATAACTTTACCATCAGTGCCACAGTTGAATTCCTATGCATTCCTCTGCTTGAATTTAAAACACTTGTAACTTTTGAAAGTTGATTATATGTAGATTTTATTAATGGAATTTTGTTGATGAGTTGGCAAATGACAATACAAATTAAGTTATAACCCGAGTCTGCTATTTCAAATGGGAATGGATTCTCTCAGTTTAAACGTACACATTGAATTTATCACTTACTTGGACTCAGAATTAATCAAATTACCACCTGTCTTGAATAATTAAATATCAACCTTTCACCCACAATTGTAATGTAACTTGTTCTACAAATTAATCAAATATAATAATCTTTCCTCAGCTATCCTTGCCATCAATCGTAAAGTTTACATATACACAGTAGAAAATTTTCAATTCCAATCTCCTAGGCCTTTTCCAAGTATGTAATATAAAATTTAGAAGATTTGAGATATTTTATTTGTTCCTAGTGGATACGGTAGGAGTATGGTAGTTGCGTGCATGTTTGGGTGGCCCTGGCTATTTTCAACATGTAGACTTAAAATGTGCATTCACAATTAACACAACTTCAGAATGATCATTACATCTAATCCCAGCCTATATAATCCAAAACCGTAAAACATAAGATTTTTCAGTACTTTTCACTTATAATAAACAGGTGAACAAGTTTTGGTCCATTTTGACATGGCACCAGAAGCTATTATTTTTTGGATTCAAATGACATTATATAATATGGATTCCTATGTATCTCCAGTGAGCAAAGTTTATAGATTATTATAAAACAATAAAAAAAATAAACCATATATAACATTAACTAACTTAATTTTGTTCAAAGTACTTTTCACTTATAATAAACAGGTGAACAAGTTTTGGTCCATTTTGACATGGCACCAGAAGCTATTATTTTTTGGATTCAAATGACATTATATAATATGGATT